AGTCTCGCCTTATATCTCAAAGGGTCATTAGAATTAATCACTTCCTTGATTTTGAAAATCCAATTACATTGAACCATTCTTTGAGTTTCAAGTTTCTTTACCAATTTCCATGTTTTATTATCAAGTAAGGACTTCATTTCCTCCTTCATGTCATCTTTCTACTTTTCAGAATCAGAACTATTCATAGCCTCTTCATATGATGATGGTTCTGAATGTTCTAAGGATTCACTAGAGATAAGAGCAAAGTCAATCAAATTGTTTATTTCATATCTCGGATTTGGTCTGACTTGTCTCTTTTCCCTATCTCTGACCAATTGATAATCTTGAATATCAGTCTCATTTGTGGGTTTATTTGTGTTCCCAATATCAATCTCAACCTCAACTTGAGGTACTTCTACTTCACCTCCATCTGTGTTAACAATATTTTCATCAAATTGTTCAACATCAGATTCAACATTTTCAGGTTAAGTGTGATTGGGTCTAGCTATCTTCACCTCAAACTGTTAAGTACTCTCTTTGGTTTGCTCTTGATTATCAATTTTGTTTTTCAAACATGGAATTTCAGACTCGTTAAATACCACATTTCTACTATTAATGATCTTAATGCCATGTACACCTATCACCCACAACCTGTACCATTTTACTCCTTCCGGTTACCCTAGCATAACACATTTAGTGGCTCTTGGATCTAACTTTCCCTCAACTTGATGTGCATATGCCGCACATCCAAACACCCTAATGTGAGAAAGGTTTGGAGGCTTCCCAGCCCAAAGTTCCCGTGGAGTCATAAACTCAACAGAACTACATGGAGATCTATTTATCAAATAAGCAGCTGTAGTCACAGCCTCAGCCCAAAGCCTTTAGCTAATCCAGAACTGATCAACATATACCTAACTTTATTCATAAGTGTTCTATTCATCCTTTCAGCGACCCCGTTTTGTTGAGGTGTGTGTTTAACAGTTCTGTGTCTCATAATCCCCTTTTGTTTACAGAAGTTATCAAACTCGACATTACAAAATTTCAACCCATTATCAGTCCTTAGAGTTTTTAACTCCTTATCAAGTTGATTTTCCACCATCTTCAACCAAGTTCTAAATCTTTGAAATGTCTCAGATTTGTTTTTCAATGGACAAGTCCGTACCTTTCTTGAGTAGTCATCAACTATAGAAAGGAAGTACTTATTGCCTCCAAAGGTGGGGTGACTTTTCGGTCCCCATAAATCTGAGTGGACATAATCTAGGGGCCTAGAGGTGCTATGAACCCCAGCCTCAAAGCTACCCTATGTGACTTTCCCAACACACATGTTTTACAAAATTCAAGGGGTTCATTCATATCTTTCCCAAATAGTTTTTATTACTTAGATACTTCAAACCCTTATTTCCTATATGTCCCATTCTGTTGTGCCATAATTCAGACTTGTTTTCAATTATGGTCAAAGACTTTGCATCTTGAGGAGTAACAGTCTTTCCCATAAGACAGCACAATCCATTTCTTTTAGGTCCCTCAAAAATTACCAAAGATCACTTCATCACTTTCAAAGTGTTATTATCCGATTTAAATGAATGTCCCTCATTTTCAAGAATTCCAATTGAGATGAGATTTCTTTTAAGATTTGGGACATATCTCACATTCTTTAATTGTCTGACAATACCATCATACATTGTAATGGAAATTTCACCAATACCAAGAACACTCTGAGAGTTATTATCACCCATATACACTTTCCTGGGTTCAACTTCTTTGTAATTATTAAACCACAACCTATTAGGACACATATGGAATGTACACCCTGAATCTAAGATCCAGTCCTTATCAACTTCTTCATCTGACATGGTCATCACAAGAAGGCTAT